AGGAAACGAGGATTTTTAACACCAATGGAAATTGAGAATTCTATGGTGATTTAGTGGGATTTATATAATGGGATTTTATGGAGTTTCATGGGATTTAATGGGATTATATGTTGATTTAATGGGATTTGACGGAAACTTAATAGTCAATGGATTGGTTTAAGGGAAGATTTACAGGAAAACAATGGAAAACAGATACGGTCAAAATAAGCGTAGACTACTTTAGTAAGGGAGGGTCCACCTGTGTCAAGTGCACCAAACCATGTAAAGCGATAGGGCCCCCCAAAAAAGATAACTTGTAACCATATGAGAGTGCATTAAACTTGGTGTAAACCAAGAACGTATATGTTGTGCACCTTCACGCGATGGGCAGAATTGATGAAGAAAAATCAACCTGCAGTGCCCAGGTTTCTTGCAGTGGCAATGTCATTTGTTGTCCAAGGTGATTGAACCGTTGCTTTCTGCAGGCAGTTGTTTTTTTCCTCCCAGGTCTCAAAGCAGTAGAATTAAACTAACTAAATGACTAAATACAATTCACCTACCCCGAAGTCACGGCGAGCCGGCAATGCCACCTCATCGTGTGCGGCATCGAAACCGGTGGCAGGTGGGGCGACGAAGCCATCGCACTCCTGCGCGGCCTCGCCCCCAAGTCCCGGGAGGTGCCACCGCTGGCGCGTACACCAGCCGGGCATCCCTCGTGGCCATCACAGCCCAAAGGGCGCTCGCGGCCGGCCTGCTCGAGCTGCCCTTGGCGGCCACGACCACACCGATGACGGCGACCGAGGGCCCATCGCCCAGTCGTCTACCTCTGAGAGGGGGGTGTAATCTGACGCGCGACCTGAGACACCTGCGAGTCAAAAAGGTGTGGCGGAAAAAAATTAAAGGACCGGATAACCCCCACAAGGCAACTTCTTCCAATAATGAGCACCAAATGTTGTAGCGGGGACGGGGAAAGAAGGAAAGACAAAGGAGGTGGTGAAAGATCGAAAAGTTAAAACAATTGTGTGTGACAAAGTGGTATGTGAAAGATGGTGTGTGTGTGAAAGTTGTGTGTGAAAGGGAGCGTGTGACAAAGTTGGTGTGCGACAAGTTGTGTGTGAAAGATGAAAGATGGTGTGTGACAAAGTGGTGTGTGAAAGATGGTGTGATACAAAGTGGTGTGTGACAAAGTGGTGTGTGAAAGATGGTGTGTGACAAAGTTGGGTGAAAGATGGTGTGTGAAAGATGGTGTGACAAAGCGGTGTGTGAAAGACGGCGGTGACAGAGTTGAGTGTCAAAGATGGTGTGTGACAAAGTGGTGTGTGAAAGATGGTGTGTGACAAAGATGGTGTGTCAAAGATGATGGGTGACAAAGTGGTGTGTGAAAAGATGGTGTGTCAAAGATGATGGGTGACAAAGTGGTGTGTGAAAGATAGTGTGTCAAAGATGGTGTGTGACAAAGTTGGGTGTGAAAGAGGGTGTGTGAAAGATGGTGTGTGACAAAGATGGTGTGTGAAAGAGTCTTGAAAGAGGGGGTGTCAAAGATGGTGTGTGACAAAGTGCCACACTTGCCACGCAAATGGCAGTGGATGTCTCACACCAACGAAGATGGATGTTACCAAGTGCCACGCCTGCCACACAAATGGCAGGTGGATGTCGCCGAGTGCCACAGTGGCGCGGCGTCACCGCGCGACCAATCCGGTCCAAGCGCGCCACCAGACCCTGCCCAGTGTCTCCAGTGCCACACCTGCTACGCAAATGGCAGTTGGATGTCTCCAAGTGCCACGCCTGCCACACAAATGGCAGGGTGATGTCGCTGAGTGCCACGCCTGCCACGCAAAGTGCCGCGGCGTCACCGCGCGACCAATCCGGTCCAAGCGCTCCACCAGACCCTGCCCAGTGTCTCCAGTGCCCGCCTGCCACACAAATGGCAGGTGGATGTCGCCGAGTGCCACGCCTGCCACGCAAAGTAAACGAAGGTGGATGTTACCAAGTGCCACGCCTGCCACGTGAAACGAAGGTGGATGTCGCCAAGTGCCGCGCCGGCCACGCAAAGTGCCACGGCGTCACCGTGCGACCAATCCAGTCCAAGCGCGCCGCCAGACCCTGCCCAGTGTCTCCAGTGCCACACCTGCCACGCAAATGGCACTTTTCCAAGTGCCACGCCTGCCACACAAATGGCAGGTGGATGTCGCCGAGTGCCACGCCTGCCACGCAAAGTGCCGCGGCGTCACCGCGCGACCAATCCGGTCCAAGCGCGCCACTAGACCCAGCCCAGTGGCATAAGTGCCACGCCTACCACGCAAAACGAAGGTGGATGTTACCAAGTGCCACGCCTGCCACGTGAAACGAAGGAGGATGTCGCCAAGTGCCACGACTGCCACGCAAAGCGAAGGTGGCTGTCACCAAGTGCCACGCCTACCACGCAAAACGAAGGTGGGTGTCACCAAGTGCCACGCCTGCCATGCAAAGTGCCGCGGCGTCACCGGCGACCAAGCCGTCGAAGCGCGCCACGCAGTGCCATAAGTGCCACGCTTGCCAAGCAAAGCGAACGTGGATGTCGACAAGTGCCACGCCTACCACGCAAAACAAAGGTGGATGTCACCAAGTGTCACGCCTGCCACGCAAAATGCCGCGGCGTCACCGGCGACCAAGCCGTCCAAGCGCGCCACGCAGTGCCATAAGTGCCACGCCTGCCATGCAAAACGAAGGTGGATGTCACCAAGTGCCACGCCTGCCACGTGAAACGAAGGAGAATGTCGCCAAGTGCCACGCCTGCCACGCAAAGCGAAGGTGAAAGATGGTGTGTGAAAGATGGTGTGTCTGTGAGAGATGGTGTGTGGAAGATGGTGTGTGAAAGATGGTGGTTGACAAAGATGGTTGACAAAGACGGTGAGTGTAAAAGATGGTGTGTGAAAGATCGTGTGTGAAAGATGGTGTGTGAGAGATGGTGTGTGAGGGATGGTGTGTGAAAGATGGTCTGTGAAAGATGGTGTGTGAAAGATGGTGGTTGACAAAGATGGTTGACAAAGACGGTGTGTGAAAGATGGTTGACAAAGATGGTTGACAAAGATGGTGTGTGAGAGATGGTGTGTGAAAGACGGTGTGTGAGAGATGGTGTGTGAAAGATGGTGTGTGAGAGATGGTGTGTGAAAGATGGTGTGTGAAGATGGTGTGTGAAAGAAGGTGTGTGAAAGATGGTGGTTGACAGGCGGGCGGCGGGAGGCGGAGCGGGAGGCGGGATTCTTAGGTCCATTTATGTGCTGCATAATTCAGCTTGAAACAGATTATTCTTCCTTTGTTTCCTTTTTTTTTCTAACCTTCCTTTTTCCCTTTACTTTCCTGTTAAAAACTAAACGCAATTGAATTCGTGAAGCCAATTCCGCTGCATTTTTGCATTACTTAGATTTACTTAGTGTTGATTTGAATAAAACACTGTAAAGCGATAGGCCCCACCAAAAAAGCGGTAACCTTTATTTTCGTACCAAGCATCATCAATCGATTTTGACGGCGGCTCATATATTTAATGGGATAATCGATGGTTTCCTGTTAAGATTTTCCCTTAAACCAATCCATTGATAACGAAAGCTTGAATTGAAATAACTAGCAAAAATGAATTTAAACAGAATAATGCGGATTTCACCAACAAAGATGTGAATTGAAAAGCAACAAATTGGACCTAACCAACAAAAAAGGTGGGTTTAACCAGAAACATGGGTACTGGATCTATTCATTTTGGGAGTCCCATACGGGGGTATTTCATGTTGGGCTGGGATTCATGTCCAACCGTGGATGATGCTCCACGATGATGATCACCTTGCCCTTAAATTACCATTTTTGTACCTTTGCTGGGCGCATATTGAAGATGCCTTTTTAGGTTTCACACACATAATATATATCTATATATAATTGATAATGATATCTATACACATATGTATATTCAAATTTCAAAACTCCAAGCGTGACGTAGGCGAGCAGCAGAGCTTCAAATACAAGGAAAGAGACAAGTCACGTAAAATCATATTGTTTTAATGTCACTTTAGATATGTGCAAAGTTACGACATACAGTTTCATACAGTTACATGGGTACATATGGAGGTTTCCTGAAATGGAGGTACCCCAAATCATCCATTTCAATAGGAATTTCCATGAAATAAACCAACCAGCTATTGGGGATCCCCTATGGAAACCGAGGCCTCATCCAATACCGCATCCTTCGCCCAGCTTTGGTTGGAAGGTGATGAGATCGGCCTTGGAAGATGATATATGGAGGTTTCCATAAATGGTGGTACCCCCCAATGGATGGTTTCTAATAGAAAATACCATTCAAATGGATGATTTATGGGTAGCCCTATTTCAGGAAACCTCCGTATGAGGTTTGTTGGTCGAATCATCCCCAAAATCAGATAGACAAGGCTTAGTCTGTGATATGTTTGATTTGGTTTGGGATAGTTGAAAATGTGCCAGTGGATCATTCCAAACATGATGATGAGGTCAGCTTTAACATTGTTGACATCAACAACTGGGCAACGATCACTATATTTCTGATTTGAGACTTGCATACCAACTGTTAGGTGGTGACGGTGGTGAGGTGGCAAAATTTGAATGATCTTGTAAGTGAAGGGGTATCGCCCAAAAAAACAACAGCAATGGACCCATTAAAAAAAATGCCGTGTTGAGTCCTCACCATCCATTTTTGCCGATAATGTTGAGCAACTCCAAAATTTTCTAGTTGGTGGTTTGGAACATTTTTTAATTTTCCATATATTGGGAAAAATCATCCTGACTGATTCATATTTTTTCAGAGGGGTAGGTCAACCATCAACCCCCACCATTCATCATTCACCATGATTTGTTTTGGCCAACCTATTCTTGGAGATCCGTTAGACCCTCAAATTTGGGTTCCTACCCTACGGTTACCAAACAAGGCAATTACGACAGTTCCCCCTTTATAGATGATTAACCCATCAAATTCTCATTTGCATTAGAAATTTAATTGCTTTCCGTTCATCTTGGGCTCGAGTTGGGGAACGGTGCTACTTGGCGCATCTTGCTGCTGCTAACTGTTGGCGTCATGGCCATGTTCGTGTTCCCTTGTGTGAGTTTGCTGCTGTCACTGGCCGCCAGCTATCCCAGCTCCATGCAGTGCGACTTTGCGTGCATGGCCAACTACGGTCCAGGCACAAATATGTTTGGGATATCATGGCACTGCGATGGCAGCAGTTAACATCCCCACACAATGATTAAAAACAACCAACACCATGCTCATATGCAGCTTCAGGATCAAAAAGCATATGCAGAACCAAGAAAATTCTGCATAGATCGATATTGATTGCAATGCAACTGGCCATAAACATGTCTCTTAACTAGTTTATATAGTATGGACAGGGTATAAAACCTTAAAGGCCAAACTTGCTAAAGGGAATGAAGCAATGAGTGGGTAATCGGACTATGCATACCCCCTTTCCACGCAGTAGGGGCAGTAGGTTTTGGTAAACCAACCTGGCAAAGTGCTATTCATTATTTGGAGATGATTTGATTTTTACAGATAGCGACTCTTCATTTGCCATGTCTGAAGACCAGAGAGTCGGCTGATGCAAAATGCAGCAACTTTGAGATGAGTGTCATTATATGTCATCCAACCTTTTCCCTGTGCCATGTTGGGTAGTTGGGTGCCTTCCCTACGGACAAGTCTTGAAACAGGTTTGCTAGTTGCGAATATCATAATTACACTGTCCATTGCCTGATGATCTACCTTAATCAAAATGCCTTTCGACTGGGGTGCCCAATGGAGAAGCATCATGAATCATGAATCCCTTTTTTTGCTAGGTGTCATGCGCAGTTTCACCGTTGTTGACACAATAAGATATCATCCGGCCTTGGTTTATGTCATCTCCATGTGTTCGTTGATGAGAAGGAAATGTTTGCACATCGACCTGCCATGATCATCCACAATTTCTGCTTTGAGAGCTGCATAAACAATCAGAACAAGTGCTTGCTCATGTTCACTCATGAAGCACTACCATCTCGGCTACCCAACTAACACAGACTCCGTATCAATGGATTTAAAAGGCGCGTCTCCCCTTGGATTCCTGGTCATTTGTTTGGTGATTTGGTATTGCCAGTTTTTGCGGGCCATTCTAGATGGCTTGTAATGGTGGCATATGCCGCCGGCTCAGCCCTTCTACGGCTTGATCCCGACAAGTGGGCCATATCGCCCACATGTTCTTCTACTTTCCTTGGGATAGCCACCCAAATCACCAACTGAATATCATAAATCGATTGTAAATAAACAATTCGATACATGCAGCGGGGGTGGCTTGCGTCTTGAAGGCCGCTTGCGTCTTGAAGTTTATCCCACTTTCACGGGGTGCCTCACGCCAGCACAATGTGGTGCTCGGCAGTTTGAAGTTGACCTCTAAACCTGCCTACATTAGTGATTAGAATATGGTTTTTATATGTTTTTTCTATGTTTTTATATGTTTTTAAAATCACATTCATCACAAATAACCCGAATCTACTATACTGTAGTGATAAACCCACCTGGCTAACGGTGCCCTGCCCGGCAGGTGCCAGCTTCGGCTACATGGGGATTGCCAATGTCGGTGCCACCAGTGGGGCCACCTGTGCCATTGCCACAGATGTGCCGACCGAAGGTTTCACAGGAGGCAGCAGCTACACCATCACGGTGCCGCGGACGAAATTGGTGGTGATTTGTTGGTTAGATTGCCACACAAATGGAATATACGTCTATATATGTCTGTATCGTTTGTTGGGGAGAGAGATCAACATCTTTTTGCCGCAAGAATAGGGAATGCAATTTGGGGCAGCTGGATGGCGGCTGCGAGTTTTTGAGCGCCCAAATATAGTAAAAGTGGTTTTCATCCTGCCACGCTTTTCGAGGGAGGATACAGCCAGCAAACATGGGGATTTGAAAACTTGGATTGTGAAGGTGGTTCTTTATCAGAAACAAAGGGGAAATCAATCAACAAAACAGGGATTTTGGTCATGCGGAAACACATGGTTTTTCGCCAGCATCGCCCAGAAAACAACGGGTCTGATTGAAAGAAACCAGATATGTTTACAAATAAGACTTGCATTTAGACCAGCAAAAACGGATTGATGAAAACTACCCCAAAAGCTACAGTGTGCCTAGGATAATTTTCCCGAAAAAGCCACATGGGATTGTCAAGTTTTTTGGCAAAAAAGTTGATGGTATGGTTGGATACCGAAAATGTCGAATTTTGTGGGCCCACTGCTGCTCCAGTTTAGGTCTCCATCGTCAAAATTCACCTGCTTCTTTTCTAAAGGCCACGTCTAGTAGGTTCTAAGCATTTGCTACAGGGCGAGGGACGAATCACCTCGTTATTTGCATGAACACAAATAAACATACGCATGGAATTCCGTTATGTATATATGGATCATTTCCTGCGGAAACCATTTGCAAATCATGCTGCGTCTATGTAAACTTACTGGGGCTTGGGTTGGAAAATCGGGAAGATGTTTCGAAGTGGTTCCAAGATGTGCCGGAAGGCATTCCTTGGGTCAAGCGTGTGGACAAGATATGGAAAATAACGGCATATAACGGCTACCCTCCGGTAATTTGACATAGCTATTGAAAATGGCCCACTTAAAGTTGATTTACCTATTAAAGATGGCGATTTTCCAGTTCGCTATGTTAGTTTACCAGAGCGGAATACAATGGAATACATATGTTTTTGGCCATGTTTTTGATATCTGTTGGTGTGACAAACCGCCTGCCAGCCCAGTCATCCAATCTGGGCTAGTGCTGAGGTCACTTCAACAACAGCTTTGGGACAGAAGCTAACCTGCAGCAGTACCTGGGTTTAGGGCCAAAAAGTGTTTGTAACCGGTTTGTCTGACGAGGTTGTACCCCAGCAAAAAATATTTTAATGTGAAAAAGAAGGTTACCCTGGACTTTATTGGTATCTTGAATTTAGACAAACCCAAAAGGCATGCCCATGCTAAAATTCAATATACCTCTAATTCTTTGACTATGCTGCTTTGGGCTTCTCCAGGGTGACATTGGCGTTGGCACAAGTCATCTTCCTTTTTGGTCCAGTTCTTGTCACTTCAAGACATGTGTAATTCGTAGCTCCGCTTTTAGACATGCATGTTTTTAGCTCTGACGTCTCTGGGGCAAGATCTTTTTAAACCATTCAGGGGCATTTCCCAGGTGGTGACATTGGAGGATCCACCCAAGTGAACACAGACTCCACTACTACTAGCCAGACCTACACTTGGACGGCACCAAGTTGTGACAGCTCAAGCAGCGCAAGCTTTCGAGCCTTGTGTGGGGCAGGTGGGTCCATTGATGCTGGGCGAGGTATGGATTTCGGTATTTATATGTTCTTCCGATTTGCAAGTCAAATGGGAGTTGAGTCAACTAAGTCTAAATAAAACGCGGTAGTAGTGTTGATTTATTTTCCTTGAGTGTGTTTTCGTTGTTTTTGATGGTGTGGAATGGAGCCGGGCGTGGCTTGTGGATTTGCGATTGTAAAAAATGAGAGGTTTGCTGAGAACAAACGACATTATATTCGCGAACAAACATTCATTTTCTTCGAAGTGGGAGGGCCAAGCGTGTTTCTCTTTTCATGGGGTTGGAAGCTTGAGCTTTTCCCTTTGAATTTGGAAATTGAGCACCGGCAAAGTCCAAATAGGGAAGCTTGGGTATCCACAAAGCACATTGTTGATGCATGCTGGATCATTCTGGCCTCAGTCTATGTCCCTGACCCTCCCAGGAAGTATAATAAATGGTATGCTGCCTGACTTTGGCCACATGTTTCTTCATTTTTCTCCATTTTTTCGTGCGCTAACCCAGGATGAGATGTGGTATGCTGAAGAAGTTTCGGTCTCCTGCGCCGCGACCACCACCGGCACCAGCACCTCTGGCGACACGACCACGGTCACCCACACGGTCACCGGCACCAGCACCGTGACCGAAGACGACACCGGCACCATGAACGGAGCAAAGACTCTGACCTGTTGGGGCATTGGAATGGCCATTTACAGCTGGCTGTTTTAGGCCTTGTTGCGGAAGCTTTTGGGCGTCACTGAGATGCTGAGAGACTTGAAAAAGAGAGACCAGAATCACAGCCAGCACAGGACTCAGGACCAGAAATGTTGGAAAGATTTGGCTCAGAATGCCCACAGGATCCTTTGAGGGTGCCCTTTGCAAGCAACACGAAGCTTGGAAGGGCCCCTGGCCTTAAGATTTACAGTACCTTTGTGGCCTCGCTCCATCCATCTTGACAAGGAGTGAGCTGTAATGTCGACTGGCAAAGCCTTGCACTGCGAAAGAATGCGCGGTTTTCCGCATGATGAGAAAACATTACCCAAAAAAGTAGAAAATGGAGCTTCCCACATGAGTTCCAAGAATTTAGTGGTTGAACCCAGTTTATTAGATAACTGTTCGTGGGAAAAAGTAATAATGGTAACTTCACAACAATTTGCCCACCAATTTGCCCATCACTTTCTTGCATGTCAGGGCGAAAACAAGATAAGACAAGCCGATTGAGTGGCTGCCCTAAAAATTTCGGACTTGTTTCTAATTTGTTTTTCCGTTCATCTTGGGCTCGAGTTGGGGAACGGTGCTACTTGGCGCATCTTGCTGCTGCTAACTGTTGGCGTCATGGCCATGCTCGTGTTCCCTTGTATGAGTTTGCTGCTGTCACTGGCCGCCAGCTATCCCAGTTCCATGTCGTGCGACTTTGCGTGCATGGCCAACTACGGTCCAGGCACACATATGTTTGGGATGTCATGGCAGTGCGATGACCGCAGCTTGCATCCCCAAAAACGATTTACGCAGATCAAATCAATGGAGAAAAAACTATTCTGAGGATCAAAAGAAACATGTAAAGAACCAAAACGTTGGGCATGAATATAGACCGATATTGATTCGAATACGACTGGCAATAAGGGTGTCTATTAATGGCTATAGGCTATAGAGCATGGACCAGGCAGAACATCTTCAGGGCCAACCTCTCAGCAGTTGTGATTTGCACATTCTAAAACGAGCGAGTTTTAGGTTATAACAGCTTGTTAAAAACAGTTGCGACATGGCAACCCACAAAAAATCACAGGGATGAGATCGTTTCCATGAAAGAAATGGAACGAACCAATGAGTGACAACAATGAGGCTACTACCTTTGCAAGGGTGGAGCCAAAACATGGCCTGTCCTATGCATGTTTTCCCACCTGCCCGGTGGGGGTCTCTAGATTTTAACGAGACATCCCAGATAGCTGGACCGAGCTCACCAGATCCCTGGGCCCGGAGCCGAAGCCCCTGCCAGATAAAATGCCACATGAAACTTGAGAACGAATGTCACAAAAAAAATGTCAGATGTTGAATGTCAGAATGTATAGCAAATGGAACGCCAGAATATGCCAGAATATATGTCAGTCAGACTGGGACACTAAATGCCAGATAGAATGCAAGATGACACGTCGGAATAAATGTCAGATAGAATGCAAGATAAAATGCCAGATATATGTCAGATCAAATGCCAGATAGAAATGCACATCTAATGTCAGATAGAACGCCAAAATATATGTCAGAGTGAATGCCTCTTCTCTCTCCTTTTTCAGGTGGTTTGCCGGCATGATTGTCCACGCATGTCCATGTGTTCATTCGCCGCTCGCCTCAGCTGCACCGCATCTTCGCCGTGCTTTTATCAGGGGGTCTGCTGGAGTCTAACTTGGCAGGTCTGTGCTTCTGAGCTGACTTTCAGCGAAATATTCGCTAAAAGAGCTGCTTGCTCAGAACGCCCCGGTGGAGATCACTCGAAGTAAAGCACCGCATTTTCGGAGCAAGCTCCATGTGGAGAAACTGAACAAGTTTGCACTTCCCAAGCTTGATTTGATCATCGCAATTCGATGTTGATCCATGTTGCTCCACAATAGGATGCCATGGGTACTGTTTGCACCCCTTCGATGCAGCAGGCAGTAGGCTTTGGCACTAGCGCAAAGAAAGTTCACCACTTGCACATTTGAATCTGATCCAAAAACTGGTGATGACTGGAATCAACAAATTTGATGAAATTTGCAAGCATGAGATGGGTGTAATATGGTGTATAAGCATGTGTCATCCAATCTTTTCCTGTGCCATGTTGGGTAATTGGATGACCTTCCTAGCTGCGAGGAACAGCCCTTGAAACGGTTTTTGTTTGCCTTTGAATATTCATACAATATCCATTGCTTGATGATCTAGCATACTAAAAAAAAGGCCTTCCAACTGGAAAGACCAATGGAGAAGCATTATGAATCCTAATTTCCCTCGCTGACATGCGTAGTTACACTGTTAATTCTTCCCCTCCGTCACCATCCGGCCTTGACTTTTTTAATCCCCATATGTTTGTTGATGAAAAAATCTTTGCACATCGACCTGCCGTTTTTATCCATAATCCTCTCCTTTGACAGCTGTTTCCATCTGTTTCCACAATCGTTTGCCTATTTTCACTACGCTACCCGCGGCCAACCGACACGTTGACTCCCCTTCGACAACGTTGATCCAAGTTTATCCGAAATTCATGGGGATCATCACCCCAAGAAGGCAAAGTGGTGCCCCTTTTTTTTGATTGTGGTCTATAAAGCCACGTAAGTATACCTATACAGCCTATATTAGTAATATGGACAGAATATGTTTTAATCACCATAAACCTTAGTTCATCTATAGATCATCTACCGTAGTTATTTCCAACGGATGCTCACGGTATTTGCCCACCTTGCAGGTGCCAGCTTCGGCTACATGGGCATTGCCAACGTCGGTGCCAGCAGTGGTGCCACCTGTGCCATTGCCACAGATGTGCCAACCGAAGGTTTCACCGGAGGCAGCAGCTACACCATCACGGTGCCGCGGCAAAAAATGCTGGTGAGTTGTTTGGTCAGATTGCCACAAGAATGGAATATATGTCCGTATTTTTCTATATCTAGCCACTTTTAAACAAGAAACGGGATATAATTTGGGACAGCTTGATGCATGGCTGCGAATTTGAGCCCCCAATGAGGGCCCAAATACTTCCAGATGGATTTCATTGTCACATGTACCATTGGAGGATACAGCCAGCAAATATACCTGAAAACTTGGATTTTGAATGCGTTTCTGTGTCAGAAACAAGGGAAATTCAATCAACAAAACAGCGATCTTGGTCATGCGACAGGCAAATGTTTGCCTGGAATTGGGAGCGGCGATGTTTCAAAATGGTGCCTTAAGCAGTCCTGGGGTCAAGGGTGTGGACAAGATATGGTTCATAAAATAATGACGGTTAATAACGGTTATATATATATATTTAATATTAATGCTTTCGATGTTTGTTGGCGACTGAACTGCCACCCTGTCATTTGTCATCCAATTTGGATCAGCAAAGACTAGTGCTGAGGTCACTTCAACAACGGCTTTGGCACAGAAGCTAACCTGCAGCAGTACCTGAGTTGAGTTTAGAAAGTTTAGACTCTTTTTTTTGGTTTATCTGAGCGAGGTTGATCGAGGTTGTACCCGCGCAAAGATATTTTATGGTGAAGATGATTATCGATGGGATTTATTGGTATCTTGTGCTGCGACAAACCCAAAATGCATGATTTTTGCTGCTTGGCCCGATCGTCTTTTTCCCCCATGCTCTACCTCAAGACTTTCCATTTTTCGAGGTATATTGAATTTGGTCTTTGTCCTCCTCTTGTTGTTTGCGCTATCCCGTTATTCTTTGTATTGTTGTTTTTGTTGATGTTCTTGTTTTCGTTCTTGTTGTCAACGTTCATGTTGGTCTTGTCATTGTAAGTTGTTCTTCTTCTTTGTTGATGCTCTACTTCTTGTTCTTGTTCTCCGTTATCTTCCTCGTCATTTTCTTGTTCTTGTTGTTCTGCTTTGCTTCTCGGTCCTTACCTGAATGAGAAAGAGATAGATAGATAGATAGATGGATGGATGGATAGATAGATAGATATAGATAGATAGATATAGATAGATAGATAGATAGGTAGGTAGATAGATAGATAGATAGATAGATAGATAGATATAGATAGATAGATATAGGTCGATAGATATAGATCGATAGATATAGATAGATAGATATAGATAGATAGATATAGATAGATAGATAGATGGATAGATAGATAGATAGAGAAATAGAGAGATAGATAGATAGATAGATAGTAGGATAGAATAGGATAGAATAGGATAGGATAGGTAGGTAGGTAGGTAGATATATAAGGCCGGGTGTGCTTCCCGAAGGTTTATCATGTGACCAACTCTTTAGGGTTTATCTAGGGTTTGTTGAAGGTTAGGGTTTCATTTAGGGTTTTTTTAGCGTTTGTTTAAGGTTAGGGTTTCATTTAGGGTTTTTACCACGGTTATATTTAGATTTTACTTTCAAGCCGTACTTAGGGTTTCATGTTAGAATCAGTTTTGTGGGTCAGGGTTTTATGTTTTGGAAACAAATCTCGTCCGCCAAGTTGCAAGTTGGCCGACACCCCAAAATGCATAAAACATTGACCCTGCGCAGTCAAAAGGCACTTCCCCGGGAAGCACACCCGTCCTGGCCCTGGCTGTGTATATATATATAATACACACACATATATATATACATACATGATAGATATTTATATTTATATATTGTTTTTGCTTTTGCTGGCTTCTATTTCCATATGATCACACTGGAGTTGGCACAAATCATCTTCCTTTTGGTCCATTTCTTGTCACTTCATCACATGTGTAATTCGTAACTCCGCTTTTCGACATGCATGACTTTAGCTCTGACATCTCAACCGGCATTTCCATGCATTTCCCAGGTGGTGACATTGGGGGATCCACCGAAGTGAACACAGGCTCCAAGGTTACCAGCCAAACCTACACTTGGACGGCACCAAGTTGTGACAGCTCAAGCAGCGCAAGCTTTCGAGCCTTGTGTGGGGCAGGTGGGTCAATTGATGCTGGGCGAGGTATGGATTGCAGTATTTATATGCGTTTCCGTTTTGAGTAAAGTTATAGCTTTAGAGTTTTAGTTTTCCCTTTGAATTCTCATATTCAGCACCGGCACTTAGAAGATCTGGTTGTTGCTAATGTGTTAGCTTTTTAGTGAGTGGCTTAGTAAAGGTATGTTAAATGCATGTTAGTATCATGCTAGCATGCAGCTAACATAGTATAGTTTTTCTATTTTCCCTACTATGTTAGCAAAGCTCTAGTTAAAAGTTAGGTAACTATGTTAAAAAACATAATTAAGTTAACTCAAGTTAATTTCCCTAACTCTTTTTCAGCTAACTTTCCTAACTAAGTTAACCTTTTAGCCCCAGAGTTAGAAAAGTTAGCTAGTATGATATTTTTGTGTTTTTCCCTTAGTTTTTAGTTTAACATATAACTTGGCTATGTACAACATACATACAGCAAAGGACTATGAAAAACTGTCTGGTACACAAGTTGATGGGTTTTGACTTTTTTACAAACCAAAAAAGAAAAGCAGAAGTTGCGGCACACAGAACAAGGAAGGAAAGAAACACTATATATATATATTTCCTTGCTGAACTCGGTTTTTCTTTATATTTTAATCCATAAAAAATGTGTTTTTTGTTTTCCAAAAATGTGATGTTTGTTTGCAAGTTCTGCGCCAAAGGTGTTTCACTTATGAACAGACTGCTGCATGACCCTTGTTTGCAAAAAGTATGTAGCCATTGCAGGCTGGCCTTGCACAAGAAAGCCATCACAGGCTCAAAGAAATAGCCTTTCCAGGCTCAACAGTTTAGCTTTCCCAGGCTATAGACCCATGGTGCTTGAGCAAGCAATTTGGCAATCTGCCACACCAGTGTTCTATAGCTTGGCTTAGTGTAGAATGTTGGAACCAAACACATGGCGAGAGAAACTATGGATAGCCAGGTGCACAGCAACAACAGCAGCAGCAACAACAACAACACCAACACATGACACAAGCAGGTTTGTTTACAATTCCACAAGCAAAGAAGTGCTACCTCTGGCTTGCCAACCATAGAAGCCATGGCATGCACCAATTGGAAACAGGAAGTGGAAAGGGTGATGGAGGTGGATTCCCCATTCACCACAAAAGCTGAAGGAGTTCTCAAAGTCTTGGAGGAGCACAAGATGTTGTACAAGTTGAAGTTGGTGCCATCCCAGCTCCTTGTCCATCCCCAGAACAGATCTGGTGGTTTGCTGAATGTGGCAGACATGCATGCAAAAGGAGCTGCAATGCATTCCATTGGCTTTTCCTTCAAGAAGCTATCAGAATCCATTGCCTTTGAGATTCCTATCTCTAAAAAAGATTTGGTGTTCAAGGCAAGCCAGTCCTTGACTGATTTGAACAGCAATATGGTGGCCAGGCCTTCTGGTACCGAAAGGTATGCTTCAATTTCAACAAGCCATACCACTGCATTCCTGAAGTCAGTGCAGCAAGGTTGCAGAACTCCTGAAGAAGAGCTTTCCCCCCGTGGCTTCTTGAATTTTGAGTCCATGTGCGGCAAGGGTGGTGATTTGAGGAAAATGGTGGAAGAAGGCTGGACATGGTCAATTATTTCTCCAGAAGTGGAGGAGAAATTGTCAGGCTTGCCTGGCTTTCTGCAACAAGCACTCAACAGCCACTCAGCTTGAATGGTGTTTTGCATTGGCCACCATGTCACCTGATTTTGTTCTTTTGCTGGCACTAAGGTGAGCACAGTGTCAAATCTGGTGCTAATGAATTGGAAGTAGCAGCCACAATAGCTGCTGCCTTTGAGCAACAAGAAAGTTCAAGCAAGGATTTGAAGAAAGCCCAGGCCACCGCTTTGGCAAGCAGGCCTTCTTGCTCTGATTACATCAACAGTGTAACACAGTTTGTGAAACAGTTCTCAGGAGGAGAAAAGTTTCCATTGCTGAAGCTCTTGCAAAGCATCAGCCCCTCAGTTGCATTTTGGCTTCTATAGCTTAGCCTTTACAGGCTTTGTGGCAACCCAAACACAAAGCTATAACAGGCTGGCTGAGACAAAATGGGTTGGTATGTTTTTCTTTTCACCCTGCAGGCAAGCAATTTGCTGGCACTGCTCTTCTTGGGCAAGATTTCATGGAGCTTCTGGCTTTCACTGATTTCAAGAACAAGCAGAGCACCATGCCTTGGATTCGAATGTCTTTGGCTACTTGCCAATGTGCTCACCAAAGGCTTACATCAAGGATGGTGCCAGCAGATTCATCACACCTTCTGACTTTACCAAGTTGAAACAGAAAGCCATGCTGGACAAGGTCAAGCAGGCTCAGGAGTTGCTGTGGAAAGGCTATGAGCTTTTGCAAGCATCTCCACTGACATTGGACCAGCAGGCACATCCCATGGCCAGGTACCTCACCAGACTTGGCTTGTTTCTCTTGAACAAAGAAAGCAAAGGGCAGGAAGGGAAAGAATATACAAGCTTGGCCAACATCACTGATGCTTTCACTGCTGAATGCTTTGAAATGAAGCAACATGGACATTTGAATGCAAGGCAAGCAGAGCTTGCTGAGGAAAGTGATGACAAGGAAATGCCAGAAGCCCTGGAAAGTTGCCAAGATCCTATCCAAATTGCTTGCAAGATGTTCAAATTGAAGGTGGGGAGCCATTACACCCACAATGGCCAAGTCATGAAGCTCACCAAGGTTGAAAAGAATTCAGCCACCTTGGTCTACACCCCCTTCTTTGGCTCTGCAGTGGACCACACCCTGACCCATGATGATTTGAAAGGCATCAAGCCTTTCACAAGGCCAGTACCTCATTTGCACTCTGCTGCAGATATTGCTGCTCTCTACCCCAGTAATGCAATGGTCAAGGAGATTGCCAGGGCCAAGGCCCAGCATTTGCTGCATGAAAAATACCTGCAGTGCCTTGGCTGCCATTCAGTGTTTTGTTGCCCAACCTTTTTCTTGGGTGGTGCATTGGTTGCACACCCAGCACACTACTGCAGGACTGGAGAATTTGATGTGGTTGTGTCCAGCATGGGGCATTTGTTTGCCAATGCAGATTTCAAGAAGGGTGAGCTGACTTTGCTGCCCTTTGGGAATGTGGCTGTGGTGGCCAAGGAGAAAGTGGCCAAGACTTCAGTGGTCCTGTTTTTGGCTGGGTGGCGACAAGAAGATCAGCTTGTGGTGAGCCATACCAAGTGCAATTTTGAGAAGGCCACTGGCTGCTGGTCACCTTTCTTCTGGTGCAAGGAGAGCAAGGATGACAAAGAGGAAAAGCCCAACATGACAAAGGCAACTGTGCAGTATGATGAGCTGACCATGCCTTGCATCAAGAACAAAGAAAAGCTGACCAAAGGGACAGCTTTGTTTTTGGAGCCCACAGAGGAATCCAAGAAAGCAAGGAAGAAATGACACTTCAGCATGAAGCAGTGGGAAAAAAGATCAAGCCATCACAGGCTTTTCACTTTGGCCTCAACAAACCCTTGGAAAGCTGAAGCTGCAGGGTGTCCTACTGAATTCAAAAGACTTGCGCACATGCTTTGCTGCCATTTGAGCTCTAAGTAGCTGTGCACACCCTGTTTCCACCAGAATGACAACCATTCTGAAAAGGGTTTCTTTGCAACGGGCTGGCATGGACCCAAGCGTGGTGCCTACCAACTTGTTGGTGACAGATTCTGGTGGGCAGGAATATTTGAAGGCGCAGCCATCACACCCAATGATTGTCAAGCTGGTATGCAAAGATGAGCAAGAAAATTTCCAGAAGACCAAGAATGCCAGCCTGTCTGGTTCTGAGCAGCTGAAAAAGCTGAAGGCACAACTGCAGTCTGTCATCCAAAAGGAACTGGACAGCTATGAAACAAATCAGGGCCAGCCTTTGTTTGGAGATGGCCAACAAACTGCCAACAAATCAAAGGCCAAATTCATCATGGCAAAGGCATCCCAATGCTTTGAGACTGTAGTCCTGGATGTGGAGGGCACTAATGTGGTCTGCCTGTTTCCACCCAATGACAAGTTCCAGGAAATCATGATTCAGTTAAATGAAGACATGCTGGAAGCTGTTTTCAACTTTTTGGCCCAGGACTGCAAAAGCACCTTGGAGAACATGGCCAAGAGAGGTTATAAGAGGAAGCAGGTGGGTGGTGAAGACTAGCTGGCTGGATTGAATTTCTAAACCAAAGATTGCAATGGCAGGTGCTGCTGGAAAAAAACTTCTGTACTTGTAGCCCTACCAGGCTCCTGTGTCCAATAGCCTTTGGAGGCTCAAAGTTTGTTCCATGTTGTGAAGCTATTCTAGGCTATCAAAAAGTAGCTAGGCCATTACAGGCAAGCATAGGAGACTAGGCAGCTAGTGTAGGCTATGAAAAAAGCCATTACAGGCTATAGAAACCAACAGCCATTCCAGGCTATGAAAACAATTTCTGCCACTGCAGGCTATAGAATGTAGAGACTAGCCAACCTAGGCTGCACCAAGCTTTCACAGGCTCATGTTTTTTGTTTGTGGGTTTGGCCAGTGTTTTTAAAAGGTTTCTTGCACAACAGCATGGTGGGCTCCAGCATGCCACCCAGCTTGTAGATAAGCAACATGCTTCCATGTAGAAGCAAGTTCATAAAGTAGGAAACAAACCTAAATCTTTCATATTCAGCAGTGATGTAGCTACAAGTTTTAATAGGTCATGCCAAAATGAAAATGCATTTTCATTTTAAAGTGTTTCAATTCCAGCCCTGGTAGCCTTAGCCATGCCCAAGAAAGATAGGAAAAAGTCAAGGAAGGAAGCAAAGTCAGAGAGTGAGACGCGCTCATCTAGTGTGGACTTTGAGGAGTGGGCTCAGGACTTGACTGTCCAATGGGAGGAGCATTTGAAGAAGGAGAAGGACAGGTACAAGAAAGTGTTTTTTGTTGTTTGTTTTTGACTTTTGAAGTATCAGGATAATATTATATATATACATGTATAGATATAGATATTACTCTAAATGATATTGTGTCAAATGCTGATATGTATTTAACTAATACCCCTATCCATTGTCATATCATGATGACTTTGTTTGAAAGAAAGGAAATTTGAAAATACCACTGCATGCCAGGAAAAAGGTTTGCCCATACCTGCTGAAGTTCCAGCTGATGCCACTGGAGCCCTGTTTGAAGTAGCTGCTGCTATGGCTATGGCAGAACCCGTTGGAGTAGTGCCTGCAGACCCAGCTGAGCCCCCTGCAATCAAAGCTGCAACCCCAAAGGCAAAGACATCTGTGAAGAGGAAAGAAGAAGATGAAGAGTTTGTTTGGGTGGTGGAGGACTGAATATCTATCCCCTTTTGTTGTTGAACATCATGTTCAATGTGTTCTTGAAATTAAATGATAACTTCGACAAGTTTGTTGCATAGGAGCCCCCACCAAAGAAGAAGGCAAAGCTTCCTATGGGCCCTTGGAGCAAGCAAAAAACAGTGGAAGTCAAGGTGGAGACAAAGGAGGAGGATGATTCTGATCTGAATGAGAAGCTAGCTCAGGCTCTCAGGAACCATGTGCCTTTGCATAAGTTCTATCATAATTTTCCTTTGCATTTTGGGGTATGGTTTCTTTAAAGTAAGGGTTTTGTTTTTTGCTGGGTTTGCAAGACTGTTTCCAGTTGAAACCAACACAGCCTCTTCAACATATTTGGCATGGTAACCTTGTTAAACTTTTGAGCCAATACAGGCTGCTCAATATATTCTAGTTGTATGATATGCCAGGCAGCAGCAGCTGCAGCACCTGCAAGTTCCAGCCACACTGGCGATTCATCTGGCAGGCATGATGTCTTTGGGATGTCCCATGCAGCATGTGTGCCTTGGAATGAAGTATGTCTGTTTTTGTGTTACCCTAATCTTGTTAAAAAGTTGGATCCCCTGTGGGTGTATACATTTTAGTTGACTCTGGTGTGACATATTCATTCTCAGGCTGGTGCTGGTGATCATGGAGATATTCCAGAGAGAAAGCCTGCAGTTCCAGAACCTGCAAACCCTCCCAGGCACGCAGCTGCATCCAAAACAACCCCTACATGGAATGATGAGTGGCAAAGCTGGTATGAGCAAACCCAGTCCCAAGCAGCCCATCAGTTTCAAAGGCAGCTGGAACACCAGGACAAGTACTACTGGTGGGATGCACAAGGGAAGGTACATGTCTGGAGGAAAGTTACCTGGTAATTTCATCCATATTTTCACATGGGTTCTTGTGTAACATACCACCTAAAATATCTATGTAGTTATATTTACTTTTGATTTGCTGTGAACTGAGGCTCAGAAAGGAAAAACCGGAAATATGAACAAGCTGGTGGTAATCTTGGCTTTGTATTTGACTGGCAACTGGTCCTTTCTCAGCCAGGAGTTAGATCAGTATTCATCCCTTCATGCCCTACAAGTTCCATTGCAGACCTTGATGAGTGTTATTTTGGCCAAAGGCCCTGCAAGAGCCCTGGAGGAATTCAAAAGAAATCCCGACCAGTTCCACTAGAATGCAAGAGTGTGTGGAAAAAAGAATAGTTTCAGCCAATACAGGCTTTATTAGAAACATTAGCCTTTGAAGGCTAGGTGATATGAATCAAAATAAATATCTGTAAGCAAACAGCCTTTGAAGGCTCAATATCCACAGCCTTTGAAGGCTCATCATCCAAAGCCTTTTAAGGCTACCAAGTAAAGCTTTTGAACACTTATTATATTATGGACTTGAAAATTAATTTAAAAAGAAGGCCTAAACCTCAATCTAGCCAAAAAAAAGATACGATTCCACTTCCCAAATTTGAATTTAGCCACTAAATTCAAAGTTCAAATTCCCACATTTGAATTTAGCCACTAAATTCAAAATTCAAATTCCCAAATTTGAATTTAGCCACTAAATTCAAAATTCAAATTCCCAAATTTGAATTTAGCCAGAATTTAGCCAATAAATTCAAAATTCAAATCCCCAAATTTGAATTTAGCTACTAAATTCAAAATTCAAATCCCCAAATTTGAATTTAGCAACTAAATTCAAAAAATCAACTCCCCAGATTTGAGCTTACCAAGTAAATCTCAAAGCAAAATGATCAAAATTATTTGTTTGAAATATTTTTTGAACTTATTTTACATAGGTAGGAAAAACAAAAATACTATTTGTGTGAAGAAAATGTTTATCCCATTTACTTCTAATTCATTTTGGCTCATTTTATTCATACAAACTTGGAATTTCATTTTTTTGTTGAAATGTATTTCAATGGGTAGCCATTTCAGTTCAAATATCAACCAAAAAGAAAATATGACCAATTAAGCAAAACATGTATATTTGTATGTAGATATATACCTGCATACAAAAGTTTAATGTATTTTTATTTGAAGAGTGAGACATATATGTGTTTTCAACCAGCAATTTGGGCTCAATCATGAGCGACACTATTGTGGAGATTGAGGACACTTGGGGATGGAGAATCCTGATATGGAAATCTGGTTGGACAACCTGGCTGCTTGGTTTATATTGATCAGTCTTTTCCTGGTAAACAATTTTGTTCAAAATGCATGGTATGTCATTGTCAAGTTTGCATCTAAGGTTGCAGGCTACTTTGCTTAACCAGGATGTTAAGATGACTGACTGGATCTTTGAAGATGGGAAGGAGGTCAGATGGGTACAATGATGAATGGTGAGGAGCACTTGTACCTTGACTGTCATGATTGGATATGTGTTTTCAAAAAATGTTTCCATCAGGATTTTTGTTCATACTCCTATTTGTTTTTCCTGTTCAATGGTCACTTCAATGATCTACTTCAGGTGGCCCAGGGATGACATGGAAGAAATGCAGAGAAACCGCAGTGCTATTCCACTTGTGCACTACACAGCCTTTGGATAGGAATGAGCCTAAAAGGCAACTACCCACTATAGTGGAATGAGAAGCGATGAGTTTGTGAGTACAAAAAGTGCTAGAATAACCTTGACAGGTTTGTTTTGCTCATGTAGTAGCCAATACAGGCTGTGGAACTCAACCTAGCCAAAGTAGGCTTTGGAACAATAAAAGCAAAAAAAGGCTTTGACAATTAACCTGATGCAAATGAATGTACGTATATATATATATATTTACACACACATCCATGTATCACAACATAAAAACCTATATAATACTCATTCTACTATTATTCTTTGCTGGTTAAATATTCAGTATTAGCCATTATAGGCAAGCTGCCAAAAAGATCAATCCATCTGAGGCTCCTATGCTTTAGCCACCACAGGCTCTGGTTCCTTAGCCATTAAAAGCTACAAGACACAGTGCATTAGCTTTTTCAGGCTATTGTGTACTAGCCTTCCTAGGCTGCTACTGACAAAGCGAGCCCTTAAGTTTCTCATATGGCATGTGTCCAACATATACCTTCCCTAAGGCAACCACATGTTTTAACTTCTGCTTGGCATTGGTTTATGCGTATGTTTGGTGGCAAACATACTAGGAAGATATCTTCCACAGTTGTGAAACCTTCCATATACTTAAAGTGTTCAAACTTTTGGAGTGTGAATCCTAATCCAGTACAACAATGCTGATTTTTTTGTTTTTCTTCAGCAACCCTGGGAGCTCAAAAATATTGAGAAAAGAACATATTCAACCTCAACAAAGACATGCTTGTCTCAAAGAGTAGAAGACAAATGATATTGCTGCTAACATTGTGCCATGGAATTTCACACTTCTTTTACTTTTCTCTGCGATTGCTGCCTGCAGCCATGGCTGCCAAATGGGATGTGTCTGGCTTGGTGCAAGAAAGCACCAGCATGGCCTCTTTGGTTAGTGCAAGGAATGACTGCCCCAGGATGGCTGCCAGCTTGGTGAAGCAGTGGTTGCTAAAGCTCAAGGGTGCCACTTTGTCAGCCACAGACTTGGTCCCTTTGACCCAGCACTTGGAGCAGCTTACTTTGCCTGAAGGTAGCAAGCAGTCTGTGCTGGAAGCTGTGGATGAGCTGGTGATCTCTGGGGGCAACCTACAGTCTTCAATGAAGTTGACACAAATGCCTCAAAAGCATGACTTCATCCACAACTACCTCACCCAGAATGATTGGAACACCTTGCATACCCAGGGGTTGTGGGCAGGAGTGAAAACCTTGGTTGCTCGCCTGAGAAAGATTGGGGTGAATTCTTGCAAAGAAGGAATCAAGAGGCAAGTGCTGGCAATTCTGGTGATGATAGAATGTCAGCAAAGGAAGATGCCACCATATGAGGAAATCTATGAGCTTGGTGACCATTTCTCTCAAGCTTTCAATGCCAGTTCATATCGATGTGCCCAAGGAGTACCATCTTTGGCTGAATACCCAGAAAATCCTGAGCAGGTTGGACCCAACTTTGTGTCCTTGGCTTACCCAGCTGGTGAACCACCTGTGGCCAAGCACCTCGAGGACATCAACTACATTGCCTGGAACCATATTCCTTTGAGAGATACTTCAAAGCTGCTCAAAAAGAACCAGAAGAAGAAGAATGGCACAAGGAGAAGGTACAAGGATGAGTGTGATGATGATGATGAGGATGATGATGATGATTGTCAGAGAGCCCACATCCTGCTCAAGAAGGCAAAGGAATTGATGAACAGTGATGATGGTGATTTGGCTTTGGCTTTGAAAGCTGAGAAATTCAAGCCCAAGAGATTCAAAGCCTTGCCTTCCCAGTCTTCTTTCAGTTTTGGCAGTGGGGCAGCTGGAAGTGCACAAGCAAGTCCTACCCCAAGCCAAGTGCCCATGCAGCCACTCCCTCCAAGACAGGCACAATTGCCTCTTGCTTTGCATGCACCTGCACCTACAGATCAACCCACAGCCCAGCCAGAAGCATCCTCTTCTAGCAGACAAGAAAAGACTGCTGAAGAATTGGAAGAGGAAGCCTTTGCAAACCTTTCCAAAAAGCCAGCCCCAAAGGGAAACCCAAAGGCAAAAGCAAAAGGAAAGGCTGCTGGCAAAGGAGTCCTGAAGAGACCTGCTGCCAGGGCTCTCAGCAGGTTCTGCAGCAGTAGTGAGGCCAGGGTGCATGAGGTGTCGAGGAAACACAAAGGCTGTGATGTGTGCTTGAGAGAGAGCTTCCAGGGTGCTCGATGCCATGGCAGAGAAGCCTGGAAGGCAGAACTTGCCAAAAGAGGCAGAAGCTGGAAGTAGAAACAAGCTTTGCCATGGGGTGCTGGAAAGATCAGCATGGTTCAGGGTGAGAGACTTTCCCCACAACATCCTGATTGGCTGGTGCTTTCCCACAGCAAAGGGTAGCCAGCTGTTTGTCCAGATCTGCAAACCAAGCTCTTGGGTCTCCAAAAAAGCTTGCACTTCAAACCTTATCACGAAAGCTAGCGTCAGCTAGCTGGAGTCTTCTTGCTTTAGCAAGTATTGGGGGGGCTGCTCAAGGACATCACGTGATTTTTCACGCGAAAGGGCCCCCCCCCTCCCCCACCACCACCACCACCATCACCACCATCATCATCATCATCATCATCGTCATCATCATCGTCATCATCATCGTCATCATCATCGTCATCATCATCGTCATCGTCCTCTCCATCGTCCTCGTCCTCGTCCTCGTCCTCATCATCATCATCATCGTCGTCGTCGTCCTCATCGTCCTCGTCATCGTCATCGTCATCATCATCGTCATCATCATCATCATCATCGTCATCATCATCATCATCATCATCATCGTTATTCAATTACATTTTATCATTATTGGCAATTATTGTCATTCTCACGAAAGCTAGCGTCAGCTCGCTAGAGTCTTCTTGCTTTAGCACGTATTCCGGGGCTCCCCAAGGACATCACGTGATTTTTCCCGCGAAAGGGCCCCCCCTGCCCCCTCCCCCATATATATCATTGTTATATATCATTGTTATATATCATATATCAATATATCATTGTTGCATCCTCGTTGGGACGAACAATGCCGCGACACGATGATGACAGTCCCTCCGCAACTCACCTCTTCCCTTCCTTCTTTCTCCTACCCCGCTAGCTTTCGTCATCCACCCCCGGCCTCAAGTCAGGTTAATGATTTAGCTTTGCCAGGCTGCAGCTGAAGATTCCTAGTGACCTTAGAAGGTTGTGCATACTTTTGTTTTTGCTTTTTCTTTTTGACTTAGCCTTGCCAGGCTGCAGCCCAACATTGCTACTAGCCTTAACAGGCTTTTGTGCATGCCTAAGCCTTTGCAGGCTACCTTCCTTGGCCATTCTTCCATAGCCAGTGCAGGCTACACTCCCCAACCCTGCATGTTGTGGAGCTGATGGGCATGCACCCATGCCAAAGAACAAACTTTGAATCAGTATGTGTCTGCAATTTGTACATGTTTAGCTTCAAAGTATACAGAGGGCACCCTGCTGCAAACACAAGCAAAAGCAAACCCAAAATAACTTTGAATGGTGTGTGTATTTCAAACTGGAAGGCCACTGCTATTACCAAACCATTGCAAGCATAAACTGTGTTGGCATGTTCAAAAGATTGCTTCCAAAACAACCTTGTTGCAACCCAAGAATGCACATCCAGCCATGGAAGAGACCAAAGTCAAATTCAGAAAGCTGGAGGATTTGAGAAGGTCTACCCCCTACTGTTCACACACTTCCTTGTCTGCAATCATTGCACACATCAAAGAACATGGGCTTCCAGAAGTTTCTTCAAGGTCCAGTATGTCCAGGGCTTGTTCTGCTGCTTTGGAAGGTGACTTTCATTATGGCCCTCTACAGCTGGACATTGAATTGGAGTTGAAGACTGGTGGCAAAACCACAGTGCCCTGCAACAATTTGCTATCTTATTTGGACGTGCTATACAGTAGAACTTCATCCTTCAAAGGTTTGCTGGACCAAAGGCATTCCACTGCTCCAAGCAGTGTTGACCACCCTTGGGGTTTAGTGATTTACACTGATGAGCTGGTTCCAGGCAACCCTTTGGGTCCTGGCTTGAGAAAAACTTGGTGCATTTATGGCACATTTGTGCAATTCTCTTTGGATGATTTGAGCAATGAGCTCAGCTGGCTTTCTTTACTTCATGTCAGATCCAGCATTATAGACAAAGTCAAAGGTGGGATTAGCCAACTTTTGAAGCAGTTGCTCAAGACCATATTCTTGGGGCCATGTGACCCCAGGTTTGGCTTGCTTCTTCCAGGTCCAGATGGAAGCAGTTTGAAGCTTTTTTTTGATTTGCAAGTCTTGCTGCAGGATGGTGGGAGCCACAAATATACTTGGAGCAACAAAGGGGATGCTGGCTTGAAACCGTGCTTGCTTTGCAATGTACAAGCTGGGCCCAAAGGAGGTGATGAAACCCTGGCTGAAGGAGAGGCAATGGAATCCAGATTGGGTAATTGCAGCACTCTTTCAGCTTTGAAAGTTTTCAGCAGTGAGGAGATCTTGGGTTCATATGACAGGTTGCAATCAAGACAACAGTCAATGAAGAAGAAAGATTTTGGGTTGTGGCAAAAAGCAGTGGGCTTGACTTGGCAACCTTGTTTGCTACCTTTGGATGCAGAATTGAGGGCTGCTGATTTGGTCAGGCCAGCTTCTCAATATGGGCATGACTGGATGCATTGCTTTTGTTCAGGAGGTTGCATGAATGTTGCGATGTTCTATTTCCTTGAAGCCTTGCCCAAGGAAGTTTCTTGGTTTTTTTTTTGCAACCTATGTGCAGAAATGGAACATGCCCAAGCATTTGAATGCTACAAGCTTGCATTTGCTATTTGCAGACAAAAAAGTCAAAGGCTACAGAGAGAAAAAACACATTTACTTGCCAGGCTTCTGAAGTTTTGACATTGCTGCCTGTGATGGTTCACTTTTGCAAATCTGTTGTTCAGCCAGCAAATTGTGCACCAGATGCTTGCAAAGCTTTTCTGGCAGTGGCTACAGTGGTGTTCTTGTTGTCAGAGGGGCAGCAAGCTGGCATCACAACCCCTGGCCTTTTGCAAGAAGCAGTTGAGGCTTGCTTGGCAGCTTGTTTTGCAGCTGGCTGGGATTTGATACCAAAATACCATTGGCCTTTGCATATGCCTTCTCAACTTCAAAGATGGGGCAAGTTGTTGAGCTGCTTCACTTGTCAGAGAAAAAACAAAATTGTCAAAAAGTGGGGAAACCCCATGCACAACACCAGCAACTTTGAAAGTGCTGTCAGGAAAGAAATCTTGGCAGAAGAAATTGCTAGGTTGCAAATGCCAGGTGTTTTCCAAGAAGGGCCTTGCCTTCCCAATCCACACCCAGCCACCAAGAAGCTCACTGACTTTATATGTGAATGGATTGGCCAGCATGCCAATGTTTCCACAGGCTTGGTGTGCAAACTGCAGAATTGCAATCGATGCAGCAAGGGTGATATTGTGCTGCTACAGGGCGACATGGTTCAAGCAGCTCAAGTTTTTGCCTTTGTTGCAGTGCCTGGGCATGTCCTCTGCTTGCTGCAATACTTGGATGTGGAAAATTGCAATTTGGAAACAGCTTCAGCCAATTGCACCTTGTCACCAACAAAGGATTTGGTGAGTGTTGAGTACTTGGAAGCTTCTGTTGCTTTTACAGAAGGCAAAGGCAATTCCTTCAAACTCTTGTTCCCTTGGCAGTGGGTGCAAAAGATGGAAATAGCTGTAAAAGGCTTGGGCTTTTGGTGATGCAGCTTTTCCAGGCTAGCAGCTGATATGCCTTGAAATGACAACAAAGCACTAGCCTGTCCAGGCTACCATTTGTGAATGGCCTGCAAAACAAGCCCTATAGGCTTTCCAGGTTGTCAAGTTTAGTGTCTCCAAATCATGATCATTTCAAAAATCTTGAAATCCACAGCAACATTTTTTTCCAAGCTATATACTTTTATTTTTTGCCCCAAACACAAAAACCATGCAGGATTTTTTGAAAATCTCAAATGCTCGATTTTTTTTTGCTCAAAATGAAGACGTAATATCTTTTAACACCTCACTGTACAACACCAAAATACAATGCTATTTTCCAAAAACTATACATGTTTTTTTGTGGCTAACTCTTGCTAACTATTTAGCTAACTCTTTAGCTAACCCTTTAGCTAACCCTTTATCCTAACTCATCATAATTCAAGTTAACTCATGTTAACTTTCCCGCTAACTCTTCATAATTTATCTTAACTAACATAACACATGTTAAATCGTTAGCAACAACCAGATCTTCTAAACAGAATAGGGAAGCTTGGATATGCACGAAGAATGAATACGGTTTTTAGCTAAACGGTATGCTGGCTTCAGTCTATAGTCTGATCCTCCCAATAAGTATAATGAATGGAATGCTCCTGGACTTTGGCCACATGTCCCATTTTTCTCCATTTTTTCGTGCGCTAACCCAGGATGAGATGTGGTATGCTGAAGAGGTTTCGGTCTCCTGCGCCGCGACCACCACTGTGGACGCCGCTGGCATCGCGGTATATGCGAACGGAGCGAAGACTCTGTTCTTGTACAGCCTTGGAATGGCCATTTACAGCTGGCTGTTTTAGGCCTTGTTGCGGAAGCTTTTGGGCATCACTGAGATGCTGAGAGGCTTAAAAAATAGAGACCAGAATCACAGCCAGCTCAGGACTCAGGACCAGAAATGTTGGAAAGATTTGGCTCAGAATGCCCAAAGGATCCTTTGAGGGTGCCCTTTGCACTAAGCTTGGGAGGGCCCCTGGCCTTAAGATTTACAGTACCCCTTGTAGCCTCGCTCTATCCATCTTTACAAGGTGGAGCGAGCTGTAATGTCGACTGGCAAAGCCTTGCGCTGCGAAAAAATGCGCGGTTTTCCGCATGATGTGTTCCATTCAGGAAGCAAGCATGATCTGATTCACCAGAAAGTGAGAGGTATGAAAAGAGAACATTACCCCAAAAAAGTAGAAAACGGAGCTTCCCACATGAGTTCCAAGAATTTAGTTGTTGAACCCAGTTTGTTGATCTTTTCGTGGGCAAATACAGGAACCAACAGAATTATGGAAATGAAAAAAAGGTTCGGCATGGCTCGGTAAAAATCTGCGGCTTTTGTAGACATTTGTCTCATCCTAGTTTTTTTTGAATTTGATTTTGGACGTTGACCAGTCTTGATCGGTCTCATCGGCCCGATTCGATCTTTTTTTCGGGGCCGAACCTTTTCGGATACCTGCAGCGCGCGAACCTTTTTTCATTTCCATAATTCTGCCGGTTCCTATAGTACTAATAGTAATTTCATGACGGTCCACAATACAAGATGTATATACACTATTTGCCCACCAATTTGCCCAGCACTTTGTTGCATTTCAGGGTGAAAACACGATAAAACAAATCGATTTGAGTGGTTGTCCTAAAATGTTCGGACTTGTTTGTAATTTGTTTTTCCGTTCACTGTGGGCTCGAGGAGGGAAACAGTGCCACTTGGTGCATCTTTCTAGTGTGGCTGTTAGCTGTTGGTGTCATGCCCATGTTCGTGCTCCCTTGCGTGAGTTTGCTGCTGTCACTGGCTGCCAGCTATCCCAGTTCCATGTCGTGCGACTTTGCGTGCATGGCCAACTACGGTCCAGGCACAAACTTATGCGATGTTATGGCAGTTTGATGACTAACGGCTAACTGTATTTGCCCACCTTGCAGGTGCCAGCTTCGGCTACATGGGCATTGCCAACGTCGGTGCCAGCAGTGGTGCCACCTGTGCAATTGCCACAGATGTGCCGACCGAAGGTTTCACCGAAGGCAGCAGCTACACCATCACGGTGCCACGGCAAAAAATGCTGGTGAGTTGTTTGGTCAGATTGCCGCAAGAATGGAATATATGTCCGTATTTTTCTATATCTAGCCACTTTTAAACATGAAACGGGATATAATTTGGGACAACTTGATGCATGGCTGCGAGTTTGAGCCCCCAATGAGGGCCCAAATACTTCCAGATGGCTTTCATTGTCACATGTACCATTGGAGGATACAGCCAGCAAATATACCTGAAAACTTGGATTTTGAATGCGTTTCTGTGTCAGAAACGAGGGAAAATCAATCAACAAAACAGCGATCTTGGTCATGCGACAGGCAAATGTTTGCCTGGAATTGGGAGCGGCGATGTTTCAAAATGGTGCCTTAAGCAGTCCTGGGGTGGTCTGGACAAGATATGGTTAACAAAATAGTGACGGTGAATAACGGTTAATATGAATGCTTTCGATGTTTGTTGGCGGCTGAACTGCCACCCTGTCATTTGTCATCCAATTTGGATCAACAAAGACTAGTGCTGAGGTCACTTCAACAACGGCTTTGGCACAGAAGCTAACCTGTAGCAGTACCTGAGTTGAGTTTAGAAAGTTTAGAGTCTTTTTTTGGTTTATCTGAGCGAGGTTGATCGAGGTTGTACCCGCGCAAAGATATTTTATGGTGAAGATGATTATCGATGGGATTTATTGGTATCTTGTGCTGCGACAAACCCAAAATGCATGATTTTTGCTGCTTGGCCCGATCGTCTTTTTCCCCCATGCTTGTCCTCTCCTTGTTGTTTGCGTTATTCTTTGTATTGTTGTTTTGTTGATGTTCTTGTTTTCGTTCTTGTTGTCAACGTTGATGTTGGTCTTGTCCTTGTAAGTTGTTCTTCTTTGTTGATGCCGTTGTCTTCCTCGTCATTTTCTTGTTCTTGTTGTTCTGCTTTGCTTCTCAGTCCTTATCTGCATGAGATGGATATAGATAGATATAGGTAGATAGATAGATCGATCGATAGATCGATAGATAGATAGATCGATAGATGGATGGATAGATAGTAGGATAGGATAGGATAAGATAGGATAAGATAGGATAGGATAGGATAGATAAATAGATAGATGGATAGTATAGATAGATAGGATAGGATAGGATAGATAGATCGATAGGATAGGATAGGATAGGATAGATAGATCGATCGATCGATCGATCTTTAAATAGATAGATAGATAGATAGGTAGATAGATAGATAGATAAATAGATAGATAGATAGATAGATAAATAGATAGATAGATAGATAGTAGGATAGGATAGGATAGGATAGGATAGGTAGTATTAAATTTCACGAGCTCCTGGGATTTTGTGATTTTTAGGGAATATTGGATATCAAGGTCAAGATGCAATAGTTGGTGCAGTGTACGCGCACAAGGGTGGCACCAAAAAACTTAAGCGTCATGGTTTGCACGGGTTTGCACTGGATCAGCCTTCCATAAATGGAAGTGGTCCAATTAATCGTTCAGAAAAAATGAAACGGTCGGAAACGGTCGGAAACAGTCGGAAACGGTCGGAAACATGATCAGGCCAAAACTTGTTCAACCCGCATTTTTTTTTCTAAATAAGCATTTCCGCGCAACGCCGTTTTTTTTTTGAAGGTCCAAAGGTGTCCAAGGGGAAACGGTTGGAAACAGTCGGAGATCGCACCTTCACTCGGCAAAAAAGTAGTTGTTTTGTAGCATATGTTCATGAAAAATGTTTGCAAATTGTGTAAAAACATGTCTTTTTTGCCGAGCAAAAGTGCCATCTCCGACTGTTTCCAACCGTTTCCCCTTGGACACCTTTGGACCTTCAAAAAAAAAACGGCGTTGCGCGGAAATGCTTATTTAAAAAAAAAATGCGGGTTGAACAAGTTTTGGCCTGATCATGTTTCCGACCGTTTCCGACCGTTTCATTTTTTCTGAACGATTAATTGGACCACTTCCATTTATGGAAGGCTGATCCAGTGCAAACCCGTGCAAACCATGACGCTTAAGTTTTTTGGTGCCACCCTTGTGCGCGTACACTGCACCAACTATTGCATCTTGACCTTGATATCCAATATTCCCTAAAAATCACAAAATCCCAGGAGCTCGTGAAATGTAATAATAGGTAGGTAGGTAGATAGATACTGTATACAAGGCCGGGTGTGCCTCCCGAAGGTTTATCATGTGACCAACTCATCAGGGTTTATCTAGGCTTTGTTTGAGGTTAGGGTTTCATTTAGGGTTTATTTGGGGTTTGTTTAAGGTTAGGGTTTCGTTTAAGGTTTTTACCACGGCTATAATAATATTTTACTTTCAAGGCGTGCTTAGGGTTTCATGTTAGAATCAGGTTTTTGGGTTTAGGGTTTCATGTTTTGGAAACAAATCTCGTCCGCCAAGTTGCAAGTTGGCCGACATCCCAAAATGCCTAAAACATTGACCCTGCGAAGTCAAAACGCACTTCCCCGGGCAGCACACCCGTCCTGGCTGTGTATATATATATATATATATGTAATACATTATAATACACACACACATATATATATATATACATACATACATGATAGATATCTATATGTATATATGTTGTTTTTGATTTTGCTGGATCACACTGGAGTTGGCTCTTCTCGTCACTTCATCACATGTGTAATTCGTAACTCCGCTTTTCGACATGCATGACTCTAGCTCTGACATCTTAACCGGCATTTCCATGCATTTCCCAGGTGGTGACATTGGGGGATCCACCGAAGTGAACACAGGCTCCAGGGTTACCAGCCAAACCTACACTTGGACGGCACCAAGTTGTGACAGCTCAAGCAGCGCAAGCTTTCGAGCCTTGTGTGGGGCAGGTGGGTCAATTGATGCTGGGCGAGGTATGGATTGCAGTATTTATATGCGTTTCCGTTTTGGGTAAAGTTATAGTTTTAGAGTTTTAGTTTTCCCTTTGACTTCTGATATTCAGCACCGGCAGAATAGGGAAGCTTGGATATGCACGAAGAATGAATACCGTTTTTAGCTGTACAGTATGCTGGCTTCAGTCTATAGTCTGATCCTCCCAATAAGTATAATAAATGGGATGTTCCTGGACTTGGGCCACGTGTTTCATACTGTTCGTCCGCTGACCCAGGATGAGATGTGGTATGCTGAAGAGGTTTCGCTCTCCTGCGCCGCGACCACCACCAGCACCAGCACTTCCAGTGACACCATCCCTGGCACCAGCACCGTCACCGGCACCATCACTGGCACCAGCACCCCTGTCACCGGCACCATCACTGGCACCAGCACCGTCACCGCCACCATCACTGTTCCCGAGAACGCCGCTGGCATCGCGGTATATGCGAAGGGAGCGAAGACTCTGTTCTTGTACAGCCTTGGAATGGCCATTTACAGCTGGCTGTTTTAGGCCTTGTTGCGGAAGCTTTTGGGCGTCACTGAGATGCTGAGAGGCTGGAGTGAGCTGTAATGTCGACTGGCAAAGTCTTGAACTGCGAAAAAATGCGCGGAAATCCGCCGGACATGGCTGGACACGGCTTTTCTGCATGATGTGTTCCATTCATGACACATGGATGATATTGGGCGATGTGACTCCCCAGAAAGTGGGAGGTATGAAAAGCAGCAAATTATCATTCTACTATACATTCTACTTTACAACCTATCGATTCCCAGAAAAATTGGAAACGGCGCTTCCCAAATGAGTTCCAAGACTGAAGTGGTGCCAGTTTGTTGGATGATTTTGGGCAAACAATACTAGCCTCAATGCAGCCTTGCTATATGGGAAATGAGCTTCAACATGCCCCAAACAAATCAGCTGCAGGAAGGCTCCCGACTAGTTACCCACCAATCTGCCCAGCATTTTGTTGAAAACCAGTGGATTTGAGTTGCCAACATGGTCAGACCCGTTTGCCCAAGGAAGAAATGCAGGAAACTCCAAGCAATTTGGTGATAAAAAAGGTATTGTTTCCAGTTTCAACTTTCCCTTAACCCAATATACCCAATCCATTTCTATTCCATTTGCAAAGAGCCGCAGCCAGGAGATGCAGAATCACAAGTTCCGCGCCTGGCTTGCCGAGTTCGAGCCAGTTCCCCCAGTTCCACCTCCACCTCCACCGGCAGAGGCTTGGACGGGTGTTCATCCGATGTTTTGTGATTTCACGGTTCTTTCGTGATTTGGAGGTTCCTACACCGGAAACCATGGGTTTCAATACTGTACCAAAATAGTTTAATTTAGAGGGGGATACCCCCATTTAAAACAACCACCAGTTGGAAGTTGCATTTTCGCGGAAAATAGCGGTAGATGCTCGTTGCATTCGTTCAGCAATGGGTCGTGCTTCCAGATGTACAATGTTTGAAGGTATTTAAGATACGACCTCGCTAAAACAACTGGTAGATGCAGAGACGGCCTCTAAACAATTCACTGCCACATGTTTACACCAGATTCTCGCTTCATAGTGTGGTAAGCACCGATTTTATCGCAGTTTCATGATCGGGTTGGCTGATTGTTTGCTGTTCCTTTTTGCCCAACATCATAGCAGTAGAATCCCGCCGTGCTTTTTTATTGGATGCGCGTCCCAGCTGGTAAGTTGCTAATAGCCCGTGCATACCCAATAACGTGGGTAAAACAATGCCATAAAACAGCCGTATACCACCTATAAACATGATGATGACTGGGGGATGGTCTATGGCATTCTTTTAACCGCATGACTACAATACATATAAAACCTTTTTTTCCAAATGTAACTACGGTGTCATCTGGTTTTTACCCACCAGGGATTCAAGCCCTGTGAGCCGGAGGGATGTTTTTGGTGTCTTCCCCAGTGAAACAATCAATAAACATGAGATGTACACAGTACCCTCTGGTAAACTAACATAGCTACTGAAAATGGTCATAGAAATAGTTGATTTACTCATTACAATGGTGATTTTCCATAATTATGTAAATGTTTACCAGACGGTAGCTGGCACACTCCGTGCTTGAAGATGTCTGGTATTGTTTGAATAATTTGGTGGTTTAATGCCAAGTCTGGATCAATAAAGCCTGGTTGACTAGGAATCGGGGCTACCCCTCCCCATGAATATGCACCCAATGATCAACAGCCAAGGGGTTTAGCAAAATATGTGCCCAATAACATCCTGCTGGTTCCTGAAACCAGTATGAACCTACGTTAACATGTGTTTAACGTATGTTTAATGTATGGTTAACCACTATTGACAATGATTTTTTAATATTACTACTATCATGAAATATTCCGAATTCCCATTTAGTAACATAGTAAAATCAGGGGATAACCCCATTATTTTAATATCCCAAGTATTATTACCCCCACTACCATTTAGTAACATTTGATATCCCCATTATTATTTTTACCTAAAATCAAAAATACCTTACTGCTGAAAAGCAAATCATGGTTACCCCAAATTTACCACTTAGTAAACATCCCCAAATACACCCATTAGAATTTGGGGCTGACCTTGCTGAAAACTCACAATGGCGCAGGCTGGCTCTGGCTTTCCGGCCTCGTCCCTGGGCCCGTGTGGATGGGCCTGGCACGGCGCTGTTGTTTGAACAGCAGCATTTTGTCACCAAAAGGGTGATTTTTGTTTGGTTTGCTGAGGGGATTTCAATAGGTATATATAATTATAATATGTTATAATTACTATTTTTAATATTTGCAAACAATCTGATGTTTGATTGTTTGGGCGAATCCGACAACTGGTTTTAGACACAGAAATTGTAATGGGGGACAATCTTAGTTTTTTAAAGCACCAATTTTGCGGCATTAACATTGCCTATGCCTATGTGCAAACAAATCTTATCTAAGCAATTGGGCATGTTTGGTGATCAATTGCTGCAATATGTTCAACATTTTAAACCAGCAGGTTCTTCAAATCTACCCATATGACGGGGGCTTGCCTGCTATAAAGCTAGGATTAAACATTCACTTGGTGGATTCTGGCCATACACTTTGGCGTCTGTTTCATTTAAATTGAATTTGGGTTCACCACATGCCCCACTGATCAAAAGTGAAACGTGTTGCTGAGAATCTGTATAGATAGGACAATTGGACATCTGGAAACTGTAAGTTCACCCTGGAAACACGTTTCACATTTTCTGACGATACCGTATAGGTATATGACCCCCCTGGTCTGCCAGTGCCAGATCTCAGGACCTACAGGCCTGTAGAGCGAGAGGCAGCTGGGTGATAGAGGCCCCGGGTGGAACATGGAAGAAAGCCACGATCCAAATATGGAGACCACCTATGAACCCGAGGTTTGGTCCTAATGTGAGCTTCTTCCATGTTCCACCCTGGGTCTCTATATCACTTTACTCCGTGATGTGAAGCCATAGGGTCCTTTATTTGGCATAAAGTTGGCATTGTTCGGGTCGGGTCTACTAATGCACATAGACCAACAATGTTTATGACAACGGGTAACTTTTAACGACTATATAACAAGGCCAATCAGAAGTCATTCCAGAATATATATATATATATGTATATACTGCAAGGGTCCATCATATTGAAGCTTCAAGTGTGACCGTTTTTGGGGCTCTCAAACCAGCCCCATTTATGTTGCAGTCCCAAGACGGCATTAGACTTGTGGACACATTCCTTCCCGCAGCCTTTTTCAGACTCACAGATATTGCTGCTTCGCAGTTCAGTCAACATGTCTGACACAGCAAATGATGATGAAAGCGCAGCTGGCAATGGTGCAGATGGAAGACCTGATGGCGCGGCTGTGCCAGTGCGCGCAGCTGTGCCAGATCAGCTGCCTGGCTTGCGTGCTGAAAGGCAGGTTTTAAAGCAGCAGCTGAAGGCCGCCACAAAGCAGATACGGAATGAGGTCAGGTGTGTGCATGTGTGCAAAAATCAGCCGTAGGTGTGACAAAGGCACCCGGTTTCATTCATGTTCGAAATTTTGCAATCAATCTTGGATTCCAGCTTGCCACCAATTAGGCTTTCATTGCAGGCAAACATGTGTTGTAATCAAAACCTGCCATTGACCAATTTTTTTGATATGAACAGCGTCTGGAACCCATACAATCAATTTTGGTAAACCCCTAATTCCACTTTTCGTGGCAGGCGAAGTATTTGGTGAACCTCTGGTCCCAGTTTTCGTGGTGGGCGCAGTATTTGGTAAGCCCTCAAATGCATTTCTCGTGGCAGGCGCAGTATTTGGTGAACCTCTGGTCCCACTTCTCGTGGTGGGCGCAGTATTTGGTAAACCCCTAATTCCATTTTTCGTGGCAGGCGCAGTATTTGGTGAACCTCTGGTCCCAGTTTTCGTGGCAGGCGCAGTATTTGGTAAGCCCCTAATTGCTCTTTTCGTGGCAGGCGCAGTATTTGGTGAGCCTCTGGTCCGAGTTTTCGTGGCAGGCGTGGCACAAACGCCGAAATCGTAACGTTGGGTTCCAACGTTATGCTTGTTTTTCGTGGCAGGTGTGGGACAAAAGTCGAAATCGTAACGTTGGATGCGGCCAAAAAAAGAATATTATATTCTATTTTAAACCGCGTTCCAACGTTATGATTTCCACTTTTGTGTGAAACTGTCGCCAAAAACGGATCGTAACGTTGGATTCCAACGTTATGATTTTGGTTTTCGTGCGGGGAGTGCTTCGATTTTGGCCGCGCATGCTTTCCTAGCAAATCGTAAATCGCATTGGAACTGGCCATCTCATGCTGATTCCAGGATGCTTCAGATTGTCATTTTTCGTGGCAGGCGCAGTATTTGGTGAACCTGTGTTCCCATTTCCTGCAAGATTTGTAGTACAAAGTAGTACTGGGAAGTACGGTCCTGCAAGCTTTGTAGTACAAAGTAGTACTGGAAAGTACGTTTCTGCAAGCTTTGAAGTACAAACTAGTA